CCGCACATCCCGCATAGACTATAACCTCGCGGACGAGAGCGCCCACGCGATGGTGGGGAACTTTCACCTCATTCGTGATCTCAGCTGCCCTGGACATCTCGGCCTGGAGATCACCTTGAACGCCGAGGCCTTTTCACCAGAGGCGAGGACGACACCACTCTCATGGACGCCCACCTTCATGATACTGTCCAGCGACTTCGTCGAATTCAACGGCTACCTGTTCCTTTACGCAAACGTGCAGATGTTGCTCAAGCTTAGGCGGCTTCAATGATCGCGGTCGGTGCTGACTTGGGGGCACCAAACAAGATAAACATGCGCGACTACTACCAGGCACTGCTCGCAGCACTCGTGCCGAGAAAAAGACAGTGGACAAGCCAGTGGATGTTTGTTGGGAGCTGTTCTAAAAGGTCATATTATCGATCCATGTGCCGTCAGTCAACATGAAGTGATGCTATCGGTGCGACGCCAAGTGCTGCGAGCCCCCCAACTACGAGCCTACGTTACTGACCTTCGTGATGGCATTCAGGACGTGACGATCGCCCACCCTGGACCAGCGCGCACCTTCATCAAGAAGCTGGAGCAGCTCAAGTGGAGATGGCCCGACTTCGACACGCTCGAAACCGATCTTCCTCATGCACAACGATTTCCTCATGCACCATCTTCGTGGTTCGCAGAGGCGTTGGTTCTTTCGACGAATTCCAGCAACACGACATGACCTGGGAGATGTTGCGCGGCAAACATGGTGGTAAACTCGTGGTTACTGCGATCCGAGAGCGAGAAGTGGCGACTGGCAAATTGGCAGAGAGGATTGAGTTCGGTATGTAAGGTCGGTGGATATCATGCACACCAGAGGTTACAGCGACCGGGAATAGCAGAATATGCCGACGCTAAAGGCAGGTTGTGTGATCGTAGACAAAAGAATCAAGAACATATACCATGGACGTAGCCGTGCTGGCCAGCCGAGCGGGAGGCCATGCCCCTTCTGCCCCAAGCCCAAGAGGCTGAACGCGAGCAGTGGCCGCCGTCTACCCGACACTGCGGCCTCACCTTCATGGGCCACGAGACTGTCAAGCTCTACAACGACATAATTTCCGAGCCCGAGCCCCCAGAGCATCGACCTCCGCCCGAGCTGGACGGTGACCCCGCGGAGGACCAGGTCCACTACGTGACCGACGACGACGGCAAGCGCTGGATGGCCGTCGCGACAGACGGCGCGTGCCGTTTCCCCAAGAACCCTTGGCTCGCGCGAGCGGGCTACGCTATCTATGTTGCTCCTCGGCACAGGCTCATCTTTGCGGCGAAGTTGGCAGGACCCCGCTAGAGAAGCACACGCGCAGAGGCCATGGCGTTACTACATCTCGTGCGCGTGGCGGAAGTGCCCACGTGGATCTTGTGTGACAATGAGCAGTGTGTGAAAGAGTTCCAGAACTTGCTGGACAGAGGCGCCCCACTTTCAGGCAGCTGGTACGACGTATGGCATCAAATTCAGATCGTGCTCGAGATCAAGAGCGACATGTGACAGATCGAGCGCGTCTTCTCGCGCCAGCGCGAGGACGGAGGGGACCGCGGAGCCGTCTCGCCCCTTGCCGAAGAAATGGATAAACAAAATAGACCAGCTTGCCGCTGGTGCCGACAAGTTGCACCCCCTCCCGACCTCAGTACTTAACAGAGCCAGGGACCGTTTTTCCTTGGCCACTATCATGCATAGAACTATCGTACAGATCCTAGAGAAGCGAGCCCTCACCCGACCCCTGCCCCATCGGACCGCGGGGTACTCTGAGGCACACCTCGCTCGTCTCGCTCCTTTAACCACCGCCCATCTCCTGCCTCCTCCTCCTCCCCCTCCCTCCCCCGACTGGGGGGAGGAAATGGAGGTCGAGGGCAAGCTCGATGACGAGGCCGATGCTGATGTGTTTGGAGTTGGCTTAGAGTTCGGTTAGCCGTCTTTGATCAATCCCGTCGGCTACTCTCGTGAATATTGCAATGTATTTTGCCCGAGGCTAGAGGCCCGCCGTCTCCGTCTCAGTCGCGTGTGCTGCAAACTCCGTTATCAGATGTTCGAACAGGAGAGTTGCCCCTTATGGTGCAGGTTAGAGGATGGTTGCGCAGGCCCAGCGAGCCTAGACTTATCATTACAAAGCGTAGGGTATAAGCATCCGCGTCATCATCATCATCATCATCATCATCATCATCATCATCATCAGCATCATCATCATCATCATCATCATCATCATCAGCATCAGCATCAGCATCAGCATCAGCATCACCAACATCATCCTCATCATCAGTATCATCGTGATCAACATCATCAGCATCATCATCGGCATCGTCAGCCGCATCAGCAGCATCGTCATCAGCATCATCGGCATCATCATCCTCCTCATCAGCATCATCATCAGCATCATCAGCATCAGCATCGACAGCATCAGCATCAGCATCATCGTCAGCATCACTCACCTCAGCATCAACATCAGCAACAGCATGATCATAATCATCGTTAGCAGCATCATCATCATCAGCAGAAGCAGCAGCAGCAGCAGTCTCATCATCGTCAGCGGCATCCTCCGCATCATCAGCAACATCAGCATCAGCATCACCATCAACATCATCATCGTCATGATCAGCATCATCGTTATCATCATCAGCATCAGCATCATCATCCTCAGCATCATCAGCGCCAGTGTCATCCTCATCAACAGCAGCATCATCGTCATGATCATCAGACTCAGACTTTGCAGCCTCAAAAAACATAATCATACTCATCATCAGCAGCATCATCACCAGCAAATGCACCATCGTCATCTGCGTCCACCTCATCATCAGCATCATCAGCAGCATCAGCATCATCCTCGTCATCAGCGTCAGCATCAGCATCGTCCGCATCGCCATCATCATCAGCCTCATCAACCTCATCAGCACCATCGTCATCAGCAGCATCCCTCCTCCTCCTCATCATCAGCATCATCATCCTGCTCCAACGCCGCCTCCTCATCATTTTCTTCCTGCCCCTACTCCTCCGCCACATCCTCATCCTCATCCTCCTCGTCGTCTTCCTCCTCCTCCTCCTCGTCCTCCTCCCCTTCCCCCCCCCCCCCTCATCCTCCTCCTCCTCGTCCTTCTCCTCCTCCTCCGTGTCCTCCGCCTCTTCCTCTTCATCCTTCTCCTACGTCTCCTCCTCCTGCTCCTCCTGCTCCTCCTGCTCCTCCTCCTCCTCCTCCTCCCCTCCTCCTCCTCCTCCTCCTCCTCCTCCTCCTCTTTCTCCTCCTCCTCGTCATCCTCCTCCTCCATGTCCTCCGCCTCCTCCTCCTCCCCATCCTCCTCATCCTCCTCTTCGTCTCCTGCATAATATAAATCAGACTATTAATACTAGAATTGGTACTTTGCATACGGCTGTGAAAATGGTACTATTAGTATTGCTGGTGTAATTAATGGGTTTCGTAGTATTCGCTTTCGCATCCACATTCGTCTCAGTATTCGTTGGGTTTTACGATTGGTAGTAGTAGTGTTAGTCTTCGTCGTATGATGAGTACGATTATCAGTGTTAGTTTTATCCAGAGCAGTAGTAGTAGTAGTAGTAGTAGTAGTAGTAGTAGCAGTCGTAGTAGTAGTAGTAGTAGTAGTAGTCGTCGTCGTCGTCGTCGTCGTCGTCGTCGTCGTCGTCGTCGTCGTCGTCGTCGTCGTCGTCGTCGTCGTCGTCGTGTCGTCGTCGTCGTCGTAGTAGTAGTAGTAGTAGTAGTAGTAGTAGTAGTAGTAGTAGTAGTAGTAGTAGTAGTAGTAGTAGTAGTAGTAGTAGTAGTAGTAGTGGTAGTGTAGTGGTAGTGGTGTGGTAGTGGTAGTGGTAGTAGTAGTGGTAGTGGTAGTGGTAGTAGTAGTACTACTACTACTACTACTACTACTACTACTACTACCACTACTACTACTACTACTACTACTACTACTACTAGTAGTAGTAGCAGTAGTATTAGTAGTAGTAGTAGTAGTAGTAGTAGTAGTAGTCGCCGTCGTATCATCAGGTGTCTTAGTAGTGCTAGCAGTTGTCGTCTTCTCCGTCTTCTTAATATGATTCGTATTTCCATTGTTATTATTATTCATAATCGCGTTCTTCTGTGTTGGTTATTACTGCTCTTCTTAGTATTATCAGTGTTCGTATTATGAGTTGCATGGTTCCTTTGTATTCACATTCATAATCGTATTCGTCTTATGTGTACATGTGTTTCTCTTCGTGATCAAACTATCTTACGATAGTTCGTAGTATGTGTATTCGTTGCAGTCGTCTCAGTATTACTCGTATTAGTGTTAGTGTCAGTCTTCGTGTTCGGATTGTTGGTATTCTTCTTCATGCTAATATACGTATTGGTCGGATTCGTGTTGGTATTGTTATTGCTATATTTATTCATATTGGTCTGACTCGTCTTCTGTTTCTCCTCCTCTTCTTCGGCCTCCGTGTCCTCCGCCTCCTCCTCTTCATCCTTCTCCTACTCCCCCTCCAGCTCCCGACCCAGCTCATACTCCTGCTCCTGAGCCCTCTCCTCCCCATTTTCCTGGGGGCCTGAGCTCTGATCTTGGGGCCTCTGCCCGTTCCCTCTTCCCCCCCCCCGCCCGCCCCTCCTCTCTTGAGCGAGGAACAGATCGCCAGAATTGCAGCGAACCGCCAGGCCGCCCGCGCCCGCAAGGCCGAGAAGGCCGAGGTGGAGGCGCGGCGCAGGGCGCCATGGAGAGGGAGGCTGTCTTTTGCTTCCCACTTCTCCCCTTGGCCCCTGCCTTTTTCCCTAGGCCCCACATGTGGGCCCACAGACATGAGCACGGCGACATCGCCAACGCCACCGTCCCACCACCACTCCTCCGCCTCCTCCTCCTCCTCCTCCTCCTCCTCCTCCTCCTCCTCCTCCTCATCCGCCGCCACCGCCTCCGCCTCCTCCTCCGCCTCCGCCTCCGCCTTCGCCTCCGCCTCCTCCTCCTTCTCCTCCTCTTCCTCCTCCTCCTCCGCCCCCTCCTCCTTCTCCTCCCGCGGGGCGGGGGTCGACCGCGCCAGGAGCCGTGGAGGCCACCTCACCAGATGGGGGGGGGGTCGGGGAGGCGCCCTGGACAAGCGCTTGCGCACACGCACACCATGTGCACAAGCTCAAGTGCGCGCACATGCGTGGTCGCCCAAGACGAAGTCGGCACCAGCGTGATTGTTCTGTTATCCCTCCTGCCCTCTGCCTCACGAATCCCTGGCACGGATGAAGCCTGCGCTTCACCTCGGTTGGAAAATGCCGAAATGAATTCGAGGCAGAAGGAAGAGGGAGAAAATAAAACGGGATCAGCAGATACAAGTCGGAGGGCCATGCCGAGGCTGGTCCTGCAGCGCTCTGCTGCCCTTTGGGGCGAGCAGCATCGCCGCACGCGCGCGCCAACACAGTTGTCCGCCAGCTGCGGTCTGACGGCCAATTGCCCGTCTCAGGCCGCAGCAGGCGAGCTGCGACTGGGTGTGCTTTCAGTGCAGTCGGTCAAACTGCAACTGATTGCGCCTGGATGCATCCCTGGCAGAATGCCAGGCCGCATGCCAGGCTTCATCATGCCCCGCTGCATCATGCCAGGCTGCATCATCCCTAGCTACATCATCGACGCATGCCCTGCTGCATCATGCCTGGCTGCATCATGCCTGGACGCATGCCCTGCTGCATCATGCCAGGCTGCATCATGCCCGGCTGCATCATGCCAGGCTGCATCATCCCCGGCTGCATCATACCTGGACGCATGCCCTGTTGCATCATGCCCTGCTGCAGCATCCCAGGTTGCATCATGCCAGGCTGCATCATGCCCGGCTGCATCATCCCTGGCTGCGTGCCATGCTGCATCATCCCCGACTGCGTACCCAGCTGCATCATCCCCGGCGGCATCATCCCTGGCGCGCCAGGGCCGCCCATGCTGCCCATGCCTGGAAGAAGAAAAAACGGCATGAGCATAAATTGTTGGAGCTCCGAATGATTTCTTGGATCTGCTCTCAACCAAGATACCCGCGCGGAGCTCCGAAATTGTACGTTTACGAATGTTCTTATTCGAATCCTGAGATCCGACTCTCGACCCCATCTTTCCGCGGCATTTCTCGAGCTGGGTCGACCTGTGATGGTCCAAGAACTCGAGGCCTGGCGAACACGCCCCGTGAGAAAAAATGCAGCGCTGAAACCTCCCCAGACATCCATCGCTCCAAAGTTTTCGACGCGTGGACCCTCGAAGGTCTGGACCACGCTCATGAACCTAAGTCGTTGTTTTTTGGAGTCCCGAAACGGTGCGGTGACAGAACGTGCGGTGACCTCGGAACCCCAAGAAACCTCACCGCACGATCCGTCACCGCACGGTCTTGGGACCCTGGAGGCCCCTGTCGCCCGAGACATCCTCGGAGAGAGGAACTCGAGTCCCAAAACCGTGCGGTGACCCCGAATCCCCACCGACTCACCGCACGGTGTGGTCACCGCCCCGTTTGGGGACTCCCGATGTTTGACGGTCCAGGGGCCCGTTGAGGGCCCCGGGAACCCCAAAAAACGTCCAAGGACTGGCCGCTCCGATTTCTTCGGAACCTCGGATCTTTGGGTCTACTGGGGCGCTTTGCCGCACTTGCCTTCCTCCCTCCTCCCCCTCCTCGCCCTCCTCCCCCTCCTCCTCCTCCCTCCCTTCCCTCCTCCCTCCCTCCCTCCCTCCCGTCTTTCGACCAGAAGGGGGTACCGGCATCTCTGTTGGACGAGCCTCCTGGGACCTCCAGGGGCTTCACTGGGGGGGGAGGGGACATCTGGGAACGTACAACGGGGCCTCATGGGGGAGAAGGAAGAGGAGGAGGAGGAGGAGGAGGAGGAGGAGGAGGAAGAGGAGGAGGAGGAGGAGGAGGAGAGGAGGAGGGGATCTCTTGGGCCGTCCTGGCAGCAAGTCGGCGTCCACTCGGGCCATTTTGGAGCTCCCCACGACGGCCAGGGCCAATCCTGGGGCCAGCTCGATGGAGCCTCCCTCATAGGGTGTGTGATATCATGTGCAGCCACAAGCTGACAAGAAGAGTCGTGCCAATAGATACGTGAATAAGCTATGCAAGATAAAGGGATGTATATATGTGTATATGAATTGGTGTATACACACGCAACTGAATAATCTATATATAAATAAATCAAATGTAAATGCATGTGGATATGAATATGTTCAGATATGTGTAGGAATGTTTTAATGGATCTATGTACATACGTGTCTATACACATGTGTGCATATACATACGTAGTCACATGTGTAAATACATACGCAAGACTGCATTGGCGCTTCGCGCCATGCACCTTGGTCCTTGAAGTTCGGAAGGCAGGCGGGATGGCAGGAAAGTCAAACAGACAATTTAGCGATAACTCCTTGTTGCCTTTTCTGGCATCGCCATTATGATAATGTTTTTTTCCCAACCATCCTGTGGTGTTGGGTCCTCGTTTTGAAGAGACGGTGCCCGCGTCCTCTCCTCTCCTCCTCTTCCCCCTCCTCCCTCCTCCCTCTCATCATCAGCATCATCATCATCGTCATCGTCACCGTCATCATCAGCATCATCATCATCATCGTTCTTATCACCATCGTCGTCATCATCATCGCCGTCTCCATCATGGCCACACGTTTCGTGGACCCATAGTGAGCTCCACCGAAGGCCCCAGTGGCAAGGTCCGCATGCGGTTCCACCTCCATTTCGGCGCACCCCTCACACGTTCCGTGGCCCCATAGGGAGCTCCACCGAAGGCCCAAGTGTCAGGGTCCGCATGCGGTTCCACCTCCATTTCGGCGCACCCCTCACACGTTTCGTGGCCCCATAGGGAGCTCCACCGAAGGCCCAAGTGTCAGGGTCCGCATGCGGTTCCACCTCCATTTCGGCGCACCCCTCACACGTTTCGTGGCCCCATAGGGAGCTCCACCGAAGGCCCAAGTGTCAGGGTCCGCATGCGGTTCCACCTCCATTTCGGCGCACCCCTCACACGTTTCGTGGCCCCATAGGGAGCTCCACCGAAGGCCCAAAGGTCCGCAAGTCAGGGTCCGCATGCGGTTCCACCTCCATTTCGGCGCACCCCTCACACGTTTCGTGGCCCCATAGGGAGCTCCACCGAAGGCCCCAGGGTCCGCATGCGGTTCCACCTCCATTTCGGCGCACCCCTCACACGCTTCGTGGCCCCATAGGGAGCTCCACCGAAGGCCCCAGTGGCAGGGTCCGCATGCGGTTCCACCTCCATTTCGGCGCACCCCTCACACGTTTCGTGGCCCCATAGGGAGCTCCACCGAAGGCCCAAGTGTCAGGGTCCGCATGCGGTTCCACCTCCATTTCGGCGCACCCCTCACACGCTTCGTGGCCCCATAGGGAGCTCCACCTGAGGCCCCAGTGGCAGGGTCCGCAACCTCCATTTCGGCGCACCCCTCACACGTTTCGTGGCCCCATAGGGAGCTCCGCCTAAGGCCTAAGTGGCAGGGTCCGCATGCAGTTCCACTTCCATTTCGGCGCACCCCTCACACGTTTCGTGGCGTCATAGGGAGCCCCGCCTAAGGCCCAAGTGGCACGGTCCGCATGCAGTTCCACCTCCATTTCGGCACACCCCTCACACGTTTCGTGGCCCCATAGAGAGCTCCGCCTAAGGCCCAAGTGGCAGGGTCCGCATACAGTTCCACCTCCATTTCGGCGCACCCCTCACACGTTTCGCGGCCCCATAGGGAGCTCCACCGAGGGCGCCAATGGCAGGGTCCGCATGCAGTTCCACCTCCATTTCGGCGCACCCCTCACACGTTTCGCGGCCCCACAGGGTGCTCCACCGAAGGCCCCAGTGGCAGGGTCCGCATGAAGTTCCACCTCCATTTGGCGCACCTCTCACACAGTTCGTGGCCCCATCGGGTGTTCCACCAACGACGATACTTACAACGGCGGCATTCGGAATTGCGTATGGTTGGGCCCTTCGCCAGGATAATTATATCCTTCCTCCATACATATTTTTCCTCATTCTCGCCCGACCTTGCGAATTCTTCCCCATCCTCCTCAGCTCCTTTTGCGGCGGCTCCTCTTTGGAGAGCCTCCAGAGGCCTCACGGGAGTTTTTCAGGCTTTCTTAAAGCCTTCCGGAAGACTGCTGGGCGTCTTCTGGGGACCTCTGGGGGCTTCCTCGGGCCACCCTGCCTCCAACCGCAGTCTCCCTGAACGACTGGGCCACGATTTGGAATGCTTCGGAGGGTGTCTTGGTGCCGTCTTGGGCCGTCATGGGGCTCTCTCAGGCCATCTTGGAACCCTGCTGTGCCATCTTGGGGCTCTCTTGGACTGCCTGGAAACCCTTTCGGATGGTTTTGGGGCGATTTTCGAGCCTCCCAGGCGGTCGAGGACGCCCAGAAGACCGAAGAACTGGGCACTCCCAAAATCATGTAAAACATTGGGAAGTCCATGTTTTTCTACGTGTTGGAAGCCTCTTGGGGGTCTTATTTGGGTCGTCTTCTGGCGTCTGGTGGGTGTCTGGGGCCTCTTGGGGCCCTCGGGGGGGCGTTCGGCCGCCCTCATGACCGATTTGAGCTCGCTGCCTAGGCCCAACAAGGGCTTCCAGGAGCTCTGAAACGCCTGAGGGGCCTCCTGCAAGGGTGTCCAGGGGGTCCCCCGGGGCCAGTGTAAATAAAAAATGACTGGGAGCATAATCATCCACGTAGTGATATTCTTGGGTGTAGAAGTACTCATACATGGGAGCAGCCATGATTACACAACTGCGCCAATCCGAGGAATACCCTGCTTTTTTTACAATAAACGGAGCGCCGCCTGGAGAGCCCCCTGGAGCGCCCCCTGGAGAGCCCGAAACGCCCCAGGGGGCCCCAAAAGGCCTCGGGGGGCATCGGAGAGCCCCCTCAAAGACGACACGAATGGGCCCAAGATGGCCCCAGAGGGGCCCCAGATAGCCAGGAGACGACCCCACGGGCTCGCATCGCGGCCGAAGAGAACCCAAAGAGGATTCCCAAGGTCTCGAGGCGCCCAAAGGCGGTCCCCAGGGAGGGGGCGGATGTGCCCACTAAGCTCAAAAATAAGTAAACCGCAACCCGCGTGGGGAAACCTCCACTTCGCGCCTCTCGGCACGGTGGCGGATACTGCGTCCGGCGTGATTCGGAGAGGGCGCGGGGGCTGCACAGAGGTACGGATAATAGTCCGTACCACTGTGCAGCCCCCGCGCCCCCTATTCTCACCCCCCCTCCATCCCCACACCCTCCACCGTTTCCCCCCTCCTCCTCCTCCTCCTCCTCCTCCTCCTCCTCCTCCTCCTCAGCATCATCATCATCATCATCATCATCATCATCATCACATCAGCATCATCATCATCATCATCATCATCGTCGTCGTCGTCGTCAACATCATCATCATCAGCATCATCATCCTGCTCCTCCTCACCCATCCATGCCCACCTATCCCTTCACATCTTCTTCTTCTTATTATTCTTCTTCTTCTTCTTCTTCCTTCTCCCCCTAATCATCCTCCTCATCCTCTTTCCCCTCCTCCTCTTCCCGCCCCCCACCTCCTCATCCTTATTCCACTCCTTCTCCCTCTCCTCTTCCTCCTTCTCCACCACCACCTCCTCCTCATCCCCCTCCTCCTCCTCCTCATCCTCCTCCTCCTCCTCCTCCACCTCCTCCTCCTCCTGCTCCTCCTCCTGCTCCTCCTCCTCCTCCTCTCTTCCTCCTCCTCCTGCTCCTCCTCCTCCTCCTCCTCCTCCTCCTCCTCCTCCTCCTCCCTCCTCCTCCTGATGCCAGCATGCTGACGCTATACAGGCGCGGGAGCAAGCTGCGGCAGATAACCCCGAGTGGTTGAGGGAGGCCTTCGACAGTGATGGCCGCGCGCTCTGGGACGAGCTCAAGTGGGATCATCCTAGGACCAACCTCCCTCCTCCAAGTAACGACCCCAATCCAGTTTTGTTCGACCCTCTGGGTAATGAAATCCTCTGGGACTCCCTCGATCTAAAAGGTCTCGACATTTGTATGGATGGGTCTTGCTCGCGACACGTCATGAGAGACTTGTTTCGAGCTGCGTATGCCTGGGTTTTCCTGGACAGCCCAGGCAACGTTGTGGCCTATGCTAAAGGAACGGTGTGGGACGTGATGCAGCAGACGCCGCAGGCTGCAGAGCATCAGGCTATGGCGGTAGTCCCCCTTTTTGTTGAGTACAGTGGAGATCGATATTCTGATTGTGCTACCGTTACCAAGCTCTGCAATACCGACCCGCGTCACCAGCAGTCCAGAAAGCATAGGTACGGGGGTATGAGAAGAGGTGCCTTACTCTATGAGAAGAAGGACCACTCGTTTCAAGTGATACATACCCCCGCCCCTAGGTCCCAAGAAGTCCTCGATAGCCTCCCTCGGCCCCAGAGGAGAATCGGTGTAGGTAATCAGCTAGCTGACTCAATAGCTAAGCAAGCCCCCCTCCTCCACCCTCAACCTACCGATGAACAGTGGAAGCATGTTAGCGATAGGTTGGATAAGTTAGTGTTTGCGGCCCGAGTCGCGGCCAAAGTGTTGTGTGTTTTCCCCTCGGAGCGCCTCGAAAGGGACTCTCTCGGGCCTAGGTGTAAGGTTTGAAAGTCTGGACGGTGGCACCACTGGGAGCTCTTGGACGACAACTGTGCCAGGTGCCTGCGGTGCCTGAGTTTTTCGCGGGACCCAGAATCTCGCCCAATGCTGGGTTGCAAAGGACCTAGCAAGATGTGGCAAGGTGTGCTAGATTCTAGTAAGGGCCACTCTTTGGCCCAGACTGTCGTCACGCCTCGTGACAAGAGGTTGAGCTTGTTTTTCTGCACGACGTGCGGAGCCTACTCTGCACAGCGGTGCTTCAAGCTCGGCCAAGAATGTCAAGGCCGCAAGCTCGCGGGTGCCAAGACTACCCTGCCGAGAATTGTGTCTGGTTTGTATCCTCATGACAGGAACGAGGATGATCGTGTTTCGTGCTCCTCACGGCGAGGAGTAAACTACCTGTGCTATGCTGCCACCACCCCTCCTCCGCCCGAAGCTGCGACATCGGCAGCTGGCCCCGAGGGCTTGGTGTCGACTCTTGGAATGCACGCGCTGCTCGCACGAGTCCAGGCCAGAGAAGCAGCAGCAAAGGCTGCCAGCAGCACAGACTAATGTTGTGTACCCCCAGTCACGCCTCTGGGCTAGCAGGGGGAAAAAAAGAACCTTCCTCCTCCTCCTCCTCCTCCTCCTCCTCCTCCTCCTCCTCCTCCTACTCCTCCTCCTCATCCTCCTCCTGCAACCCATGCGATCAGGAACCCCGAGAGGCCCAGGAATCTGCAGCACGGGTAGCCAGGAACCAGGAATTTGAAGCCCAGGCGACCCGGCACCCCGAAGACTCCGAAAACTCCGGGCCCCAGATCGCCCAGTGAGCAAAGTGCGAAGGCTGGAAGGGAGGAGATGACCGAGGGGCAGGAGAGGCAGGAGAGGAAGGAGATGGACTAATTTTAAGTCGGGCGTGTCCCCCTACAGGGGGATTTTCGACGGAAACTAGAAAATACTCAAAAAATATTTCAAAATGGTCCAAATTACCGGAAAAAATCCCACCAGACTCTTTTGTGACTATTTTTGAATACTCCCCCTGTAGAGGGACAGGCCCGACTTAAGACTAATTGTGATGCCCTTGTTTTTGATCGCACCGCTGCCCAAAGGGATTCGCCAAAACCGCCCCTAAGAATCCCGTGGATGAGGGGGGCCAGTCGAGTCCACCCCACAGGCCCCGCTGGGCCCTGGCGCACGTCGCCGGAGGCATGTTCCGGGAAGCCCTCCTCGGAACATGCCTCGGAGATCCCTCTGGCGCAATGCTGGAGGGCCCCGCCGGACCCGAAACGATAGCGGATGGGTCGGCACGCCATTTTTCCCAGTGCTCAGGAGGAGCACTTCGGCCATGCATCGTGTCACAATGCGCACAGTTTTGACTCCACGAGCGGGACGGGCCTCACGGTACGGTCCCAGGGCCCGAGGGCGTCACGGCGTCACGGTCCTGGGCTCCGCCGGGCGTGACGGTGTCACGATCCAGGGCCTGGGACTTTGGCCTGATTCGAACATCCGGGGCCCACCCTCCGCCATTCCAAACCCACCCTCGCCCACGCCTTCCCCGCCAGCCTCACCCCGTACTCCGGCTCATACTGGGCCTGTTAACAAGCCCGCCCCAGACCTGGCGGCCCCATCGACATTCCTCGAACTCCTCTTCCTTCTCCTCCTCCACCTCCTCCTGCTGCTCCTCCTCCTCCTCCTCATCCTCCTCCTCCTCCTCCTCCTCCTCCTCCTCCTCGTTCTCGTTCTCGTCGTCCTCCTCCTCCTCCTCCTCCTCCTCCTCCTACTCCTCCTCCTCCTCCTCCTCCTCCTCCTCCTCCTCCTCCTCCTGCTCCTCATCCTCCTCCTCTTCCTCCTCCTCCTCCTCCTCCTCCTCCTCCTCCTCTTCCTCCTCCTCCTCATCCTCCTCCTCCTCCTCCTCCTACTGCTCCTCCTCCTCATCATCTCCTCCTCCTCCTCCTCCTCCTCCTCCTCGTCCCCTCCTCCTCCTCCTCCTCCTCCTCCTCCTCCTCCTCCTCCTCCTCCTCCTCCTCCCCTCCTGCTCCTCCTCCGTCTCCTCCTCCTCTTCCTCCTCCTCCTCCTCCTCCTCCTCCTCCTCCTCCAACTGCTGCTGCTGCTGCTACTACTGCTGCTGCTGCTCCTCCTCCTCCTCCTCCTCCTCCTCCTCCTCCTCCTCCTCCTCCTCCTCCCCCTCCTCCTCTGTCTCCTCCTCCTCATCATCCTCCAACTGCTGCTGCTGCTGCTCTGCTGCTGCTGCTGCTGCTGCTCCTCCTCCTCCTCCTCCTCCTCTCCTCCTCCTCCTCCTCCTCCTCCTCCTCCTCCCCTCCTCCTCCTCCTCCTCCTCCGCCTCCTTCTCCTCCTCCTCCTCCTCTTCCTCCTCCTCCTCCTCCTCCTCCGTCTCCTCCTCCGCGGAGGAGGAGGAGGAGGACGAAGGAGGATGAGGAGGGTTCTTCGCCGAATGCCAGCGCCGCCCATGCTCGGGGGCCCGCCCACGCCGGGGCCGCCCGCGCCGGGGCCCGTGGTGCCCGCGGGGGGGCCCAGCGGGCCGCCCCGCTGGCTGGCGCCCAGCGCGGGGGCCTGCGGCCTGCTCTCCTCGCCCAGGCGCCGCAGCAGCACGGTGGCGCAGATGCGCACGTCGAACGAGGGCTCGCTCTCCTCCCATGGGGCGCAGAAGGACATACCCAAGGGAACGAACAATGACATAAATATAAAACTCGGAGGTCCGCGCGATTTCTCTCGGCTATGCGCTGGAGCCCCCAGGTGGCGCATCCGGCGCAGCTCCCGGCACGCTGCGCGCGACCAAGAGGCGGGTCCAACGCCGATCCGAGAAATCCAAGCGGATCTTCGAGTTTATGTGTTCAGGCTTTATGCCATTTGAGTTTCCCGAATACCCAGACATGATCGGCACGGGCTGCTCGGCTGCGCGCCAGCTGGAACGGGCTGCTCGGCGGAGTTCCCGGGAGGGGGCGGGATGCTCAGCGGGGTGGATACAGTCAAACCGCCTAGCAAGGACGCATAATACCCGTCGGTCGGAAGAAGTGGGCAGAAACATGAAGCAGGAAGGTTTTGGAAGTAGACTGGGCTTCGCCCACCCACCGAAGAAGAGGGAAGAGGGAAGAGCGCTCGATCCTCGAAGTAGGAAGGCGCCCGAGGAAGATTGGGATCTGAGGATCCAGAAATACCTACTTCCAACGACCGACGTGTAAGGATACGAGGGCCTTGGAAGGCCGTGCCGACACTCTGCGAGCGAAGCGCGGCCAGCGGAAACGGCCAAGGATGGGCCGAGGTAGAAAGACGCAAGGGGAACCTTGGAAAGTCGCTCAACCTTACCATGCGGGTCGACTGCAGGAGAAGAAAAACTGCACCTGATAGAGCCACGAGCCACGACCCTCCAGGGCACACGTGGGCGCGCGTGAAACGGGAGAGGAGGGTGGAGATGTGAAGAGCGGGAAGAGCGAGGCAGCAACAGGGAACAGGAAGGAAGAACACAGGAGGAGAAAAGAGGGAAGTGTTATGTTGGTTCCCACGTGGTGTGTGTGTGTGTGTTCCACTGAACGTGGGAGACGTCCTGGAGCCTTGGGGGACCTCTTGGGAATCCATTGTTGGGCGTCTTGACTCCCAGGGAGCCTATCGGTGGCGGTTGTGAAGGGTTTGGAAGCTCTTCGTAGGGAGAGCTGCACAAACCCAAACTGTCGGAGCTCCACGCCGATGTCTTGGATCGGCGCTGGACCCCCCTCCCTGGCGCGCCAGGGGTGGCGTCAGAGGGGGGGCACAGCGCAGATGTAAAAGATCCGCGAGGAGCTCCGAAAATGAATGTTTGTGTCGATTTATTTCTTCGGGTCGACCGTCCTTAATCTGCTCCAGGGCCTGCTCAGCACCAGCCGCCTTCATGCGCTGCCTGAAGTTCTCGTTCGGCATGGTCAAGAACTTGGACAGCGCAAAGCACGCGTTCTCCTGCACCGTCTGGACGCCAGAGTGCGTCCTGAGCGCCTGAACTTGGGCCCCCGATCTTCTATTTGTAAGACTCTGAGAGACCAAAGTAAGCCTGCGAATATCAGGCGGGCGCATGCGGGCGCTGGGCGTGCGCAAGAGCATGCTAGGAGTTTTAGGCATGGTTACTAAAAACAGATTCCGAGGCTTGGGCATAGTAGCTTGGGGCATACCAGAACTGTTTTACAGAAGGGGCCTTCAGAAGGGAAAAGGGGAACC